TAAAAACAAGTGATGTTTGTTTACCCTTGTGCTAACACACTTCACAACTGGTAGGCAGACACTAATAATAGTTCACACTTGTCGAGAGTGTCCTCTGTGCTAGGGCACTCTTCTAAGAACTTCACACGTATGTACTTATTTAACAGCCCCCCTCAACAAACCTATGAAGTGGGTACCGTTATTTTCTCCATTTTACAGATGAGGAACCTAAGGCACAAAGAAGTTAAGTAACTTGCCTGAGGTCTTGCAGTAAGTAAATAAAGGGGCTGAAATGTAAACTACAGTGGTCTAGCTCCAGAGTTGAACTGCAATCACCATGTTTGTTCTGCTTTTCACAATGATAATCATTCCATCTGAGGTTTGTGTTCACTTTAAAGCTGTGCAGTCCCCAAGGCTTATAAAGCAATTTAAAACTGTCTAGTGCATGGCTCTAGAATCCTCTCCTTGGCCCTGCCATGGGCAGAGCATGTCTGGCATACCAGCCTGATTTGTATGCCCTAATCTTGAGTTGAGGAAATATATGCACAGGAGTCAAAAGAGATGTCTTTATATCTGACTGTACATAAATGAAGTTATTTTTTCTTTTCTTTTTGGTGCAATAGTTTGTTTTGGCGGAAGGAGGAAGCACCTATGGGTGTGGGAGGGTTTGTGTAAAAGGAGAATGGGATCCTTTCAACAACCATAGCTCTCACCTAGGTCTCAAAAAAAAAAAAATCTCCAGGAATGAAGAGGAGATCTGGGAAGATTGTGAAGCCCCCAAATTTTATGGACAGATACAGCTTTCTGGGAAAAGAATATGAACCAGGAATCTAGTCCAAATCCCTTAGTTGAGAGATTAAAAACAAAACCAAACAAACAAACAACTCCCCCCCACACACACACACATAGAGCAATGAATGCAAACATTGCAAGGAGTAGCAGAACAAAACCTAGAAACCAAGGCTTCTCTCATTATCCTCTCAGTCCTAACTCTGTCAGCAGGCGGGCCTTTGAGGCAGAAGAAACCTGAGTGAAGGATACAGAGACTATGAGTGCCTCTACTCAGCTCCTCACAACTCAGTTAAGCAAATAATGAGAAAAAAATGTCCCCTCATGAGAAAGAACAGAAATGCCAGAGGAGTCTGTTCTTGACTACTCAGTGCTAATAGAAAAAAGTTGAGGACACATTTAAGAGATAAGAAGGAAAAATATTCTCTTAACAAAGTTAACAAATTGATTTGCTTAGCAAATACACACACACACACACACACACACACGCACACTTTATTTAGTGCTAGCCCTGAAACTTTCTAAATTTCTATTTCTCTTAGATCAATTTATATTTACTTAGAAATCATCCATTGTACCTAAAATTTTCAAATTTATCTGTAAAGTATTCATTACAATTATTTTAATTTCCTCATTTCTATGGTTACTTCCCCTTCTGTATTGCTAATTTTGTGCATTTGTGGGCTTTCTCCTTTAGTAATTAAACCATGTGATATTGCTTTATTTATTGCTTTGTTATTCTCTTTGAAAAATCCAAATCTTTGATTTATTAGTGTCTCTCTTCAGTTTCCTAATTCATTAATTTCTGATATTATTTTATCAATTCTTTATTTCTGCTTTGCAGATTTGTTTTTTCTTTTTAACCAACTTCCTGAGAATGCTAATATATTAATAATTACTTTTTTCACATCATTAATATGATGTGAAAGTACTTAAAGCTATGGATTTTCCTCTGAACACTGCTCTATCTCCATATGTGCGTATTTTCTGTAAATTCTGTAATCTCTCTTTAATTCAAAAATGGATTTTACAAGTTTAAATTTTACAAAGATATTATTTTAAATTTTTCTTTCCAATATCAATCTCTAACTCATTACATTGTGATAGAATATGGCCTGAATTTTTTCAAATGTCCTCTAGGCACCATATATTTTTTTCTTTTTTGATGTATTGGTATGTTAATTGTAGTGGTAGACTTCCTAATAATAAACTGTACATTTTTAACTAAACTGTATCTTTTTAAAAGATGACTTTAGCCTTATGCTTATTGCTATAAAATATATGCTTGATCTTAATTCTGTCATCCTATTTTACAGTATTTTAAAAAATTGCTTCATTTCTTTCCTAATGATTTGCTTTGTTATTGTGAGTTCTCTTCCTAATGGTTTGGCAATTGTTTCATAGATTAATTCTTCTATTGCAGGGTTTCTCAGACCTAGAGGATTTACTGAAAATACAGATTCCAGGCCTCATTCCTCTCCACCCTAAGATGCAGTAGGTCTGAGTTGAGATACCTTTGTAATACTCATTCCAACAGTCGGATACCAACTCGAGTACACTGTTCTAATGGTTAACTTTATGCATTTAAGAAGGGAAGTAAAGTCCTATTTTTGATTTGATGACTTTAGAATGCAACTTCGGATTCTCTAGAAAATTATGAAAATACTCCACTACACTTCCTTTGGCCCTCCACTCTCTCCTTCCTCTTCACCACCAGCCCTGGGTTGAATTTTTACTTTTAATTCTTCATGTGGCCATCCTCATAGCTTTAGATAACACATCAACATCTCTAGGTTCTATAGTTTGCCAGCTCTAGACAGTATTGACCCCTCATTCCCTGCCATGAAACACAGGCATTCAGTGCACACTTTCTTCCTCCTACCCCCTCTTTACCTTTCAAAGGTCTCAGGTTCTGCCATGTTATTATTTCTATATCATTAAGATTTATACTATTTACACTCCATACCCTGATCCACATCTTGAATTTTCACTTAAAGTATATTTATTGGATGGATATCCAATAGTTAATTAATCTAATCACCTACTGACATTCACATTGTTTCCAATATTTCCAACAAGAAACAATGCTCTAGTGAATAATCTTGTGTATGTATTCTTTTACTCATGTAGAATTAAGTTCTTAAAAGCAGAACTGATAGGTCAAAGAGTATATGTACTTGTTATTTTAGTAGATATTATAACATTTACCTCAATTTGAAGTTATTTTTGGCGTTTTGACAGATGAAAACGCATCTTGATGTAGTTCTAATTTGCACTTCTTATCATGCATATTTTATTCTTTCTCTCATTATATATGAATTAAATATCTATTAATATGTTTAAGAGCCATTTGGATATCCTGTGTGTTTTCCTCCTGAATTGTTGGTCTTTTTCTTATCTATTTGCAGGAACTCTGATTTATTAGGGAGATAATGTTTTTATCTGAGATATGAGTTGCCAATCATAATTATCACTTTCTCCCATCATTTTAAAACTATTTTTAAATTCTTTATTTTTTTAACTTTTTCCCCACAATTCTGGAGTATTGTTAGTTCTTTCCTTCTACTTTCTGCATCTAATGAGGCTTTTTGTCCTAAAACAGTTTTATTTTTATTTTTCTCTTCCATTTCTTTCCTGTTCTCTCACAGCTCATTTTATTTCTCTTTTTGTTGTCTTATCTCTTTGACCCTACATATCTAATCTTTGACTTCTTTTTTTGGCGGGGGGGGGAGAGGGAGAGTGGGGTGGGAAAGGGGCAGAGGAAGAGAGAGAATCTCGGGGCTCGATCTCACAACCCTGAGATCATGACCTGAGCTGAAATCAAGAGTCAGACGCTTAACCGAGACACCCAGACTTCTTATTTTAAAAATGCTACAATTTCTTCTATTTCTTTGCCACTATGGAAAATATATATTATTTTCTGGTATAAATCTTCTCCTAGTATATATCTTGATCTGCTTTTCCTAATGTTACTTTTGTCTTATAATTAGGTAAGCATGGGTCCAATGCTGGTTTCTTTTTGGTTATTTCTCAATTTTCAGTCAATTTGATCAGCTATTTGCTGAATAAGAGAGGCTGGGGGAGTGAATTGCAGCAGTAGGAAGTTTCATTTTGGTGATGTCTTTCCTAGAACATAGCTTTCTCACGAACTCCACTGTGTTCATTGCTCAAGGGATATGCCTCTGCTCACTGATTTTCCCACTTGGGTTAACAGTAGCCCAAAAGGATTTTCATGAGGTCCTGCATATTACACATTTTATGGGTCATGATTTAGTGTTTCCTTTTCTTCTCCTGAATGTGATCAACAGGGCAAAGTTGAAGTGGTTTCTTCTCCCCACCTTCCCACCTTCATATGCCAATTCTGGTACATGTGGCAAGCTGTCATTTTTCATTCACTGCCACCTTCTCTATTAACCTCTGCTGTAGAATAAGGCTCGTGGATGCTTCCACAGACCACCTGTGGCCTCAAACTTTCCTGTTCCATGTAAGTAATTGTAGCGTGTGTCCCCTGAGGTCGTTCCATTTATTTTTGGAGGTTCTGCCTTCTGCATGTGTTTAATTTACTCTCACCATCCCCTCCTTGACCTAGTCTAAATTTCATAGTATTCCATGGTTTGTGACATGGGATTGTGCCTACTTCTAAAGGAAGAGGCTTTGGGGCGCCTGGTTAAGCGGCTGCCTTCGGCTCAGGTCATGATCCCAGGGTCCTGAGATCGAGTCCCGCGTCGGGCTCCCTGCTCAGGGGGGAGCCTGCTTCTCCCCCTCCCTCTGTCTACTTGTTCTCTCTCTCTATCTCAAATAAATAAATAAAATCTTTAAAAAAATAAAAAAATGAAGAGGCTTTTTATGTGTGTTGTTTTTCTTTGTTTGATTGTTTGCATTTTGCACAAGAGATATAAAATGGGATTGCATTTTTTTATGTATATGTCCTTTTAATTGACAAAAGTAGGACTTCACGGACTTCACTTATTATCTCCTCTCTAACCCTTTCCTCAATTAAGTACTTGGCCATCCCTGACCCCCAAACTGGGCTAATCCACTGTAAGGTGTCAACTACAGTATTCAAATTAGTTGACCATTGCATGTCTCCCTTCATAGGCATATTTGCATTTAAACCCTATGCTAAACTTTGGGCTTCCAGATGAGGCTATGAAATGAAGCTATGGTTGTAGAATGAGAAGTAATATGGTAGATATAGGAAAGAAGTAGAGGACCCCAATTTGTAGCTGTACCATTATCTCATGTGGGCAAGTTGTAAAGTTGTTTGAGTTGCTTTAATCTCTTGACTTTGCTACTGCACTTTTCCTTTTCTTTCTATAATAGAAGAACAACAGGAGAAAGTAAGTTGACTGAACAGCTTCCTTTTAAACATAGGTGTAAATCTTTATAATTATTTCCTATTTTTTAAAACAAAGAAATGACTTGATAGAGTGAAAGTATACTGGAGTAAGTACACTGGACTTCTAAGCACTGTGGAAAATAAAATTTTGGCAAATTACTTAAGCTACCCAAGTCTCAGTTTTCCCATCTGTAAAATGGGTATCGCAGTCCTTCTTTTCCTACCATATAGGTTTTCTGTGAGTGGCAAATGAAATAGCATATATCAAAATGCTTTATAAACTAATAAACAACCAGATATGTACAAGGGACTTAATAATAAAAGATGATCCAGATAAAAATAAGGACTTACAATACTGTCAAAGATAATACACATACACAGGGCAGTTTACCCGACACAACATATGATTTTGTGATCTTTTTGTGCACTTTTTCTGATTGTTCAGCTAAACTCTAAACTACCATTTCACTTCTCACTGCTTTCTGTTAGTCTGCCTCCAGAAACAACACTTTTTCTCTTGCTGCTTCCTTTTCCCCAGTACATTTATATAGTTCTTGTTTGTTTATTTCTTTGTATTTTTCATTGCCTTAAATCTGCCCTGAAAGATAATACTGAGTAATAACAAGAGAATGAAGCTTTGGAGTTAGACAGACATGGTTTGAATCCTGGTGTTCCATCCCTGTGCTCATCAGTTAACATCCCCGAATCTGTTTCCTCATCCATAAAAATGAACGTTTTCTGTATTGTTATGAGAAAAATTAGATCAGATCTACATAAGTTCTGCTACATAGTTTGGGCTCCATAAACAGATTTTAAAATCAGGAATTCCCCGAAGGGCTATCTAATACATAAAGTTTTTGGAATTTACCAAATCTCATTTGCTTTCTTAAAAGCCTATTTTGCTTATTTCTATGTTCTTGAGATTTCATGACACTTGACAACTGATCTATTGCAATGCTTTGATCGATAGCTTTTCTATTCCATGAACCATTTCACTTTTTTCTAAATGGCTCCATAGAATCTACTTTTCCTTATGATCTACTTTCTGTTGATGTCCTTGACTAATTTTATAGTTCTCAAAGTTTCTGTTTCAATTAACATCTTTTTGTCTTCATTAACTTTTCTTTCTCTTATAAAATAACACATCCTAATTTTAACCTTCAGGACATAGACCATATTGTCTCTGTTCTTAATGCAGTGGATATCCTGTAAAAACCATTCCACTATTAGGTAATGCTTATACATGTGAATGTTCTCGATTCCACAGAATTTATCCAGTCTGAGCTCATTCCTTTTCATTCCTCGAAGATCACAGAATATTATTATATAGCAACTATATAATCCTTTGTCATTCTGCAAGCATTTCATAAACATTTAATGGAGGTCTTCAACACACTAGTATAGATTGATCTTGTTATTACCATTGGCAAGAAGAGGAGACAAAGATGGAACGATGAAAACGTGTCAGATATCACATCCCAGGCCACCAGGAGAAACAGGAGTCGCACTCAGTCTCCTATTCTCTGATCTGCTGATACCCTGTCGAGCTAGGGTTCCCTTAGCATTGGAGGAAGAAACAGATTCACTTCCAAGTATTATTATTTGGCAAAGATCTGTTCGGTATTAAAGAGGTGGTTCTCTTTATTTTCAAAATAAGTAAAAAAAAAAAACAAACAAATCCCAGTGATTCTCGGGACTCGGGATTTGGAAGGGGAGCAGGAAAACAACAGGCCCAGGGCCAGAGAGCAGGAAGAAGGTAAGGGAGATAGGATTGGTTGTGGGTGAATCCTCATCCATCATTACATGGGAGAAATATTTAAAAAGAAAGGCCACTATCTTGTCTCTTCTGAGGCTTCCTCCAGAACCTGTAGGAGAGGAAGACACACCGCTGAGTCTTCATTTGGGGAGCAGCAGGACAAGGCAGTTTCTCCTTAGCCAAATGAACCCCTTCCTGACAGCTGTGGGGAAACGTGTCTGTGCCACTGACTCCCTCTGAAAATTACTCCTAGAATTATTAATGTTTAGTCAATTTAAAAAACCCAGCTTCAAAAGGAAACCAATGTGGAGAGTAATAACATACCAAACTTAATGTGACCTCCTAGAATTTTTGTAGGGTAGCATAGGATAGAGAGTGGAAAACACCCTGAGTTGGGATTTAGGAGTCCTGATTTTAGTTTCAGCAGTTTCACTATCTGGCTGCGTGACCTCAGAGAAGTAGATTAACCTCTCTGGACCTCTGATCCTTCATATTTAAAATGAGGGAGGTGGTTATTAAGTGATGTCTAAGAGCCCTTCTAGAGGTAAAAATTCCCCAATTTATAATAGTAATAATTAACATTTGATGGTGCTTTACCACCTACAAATGGTTTCCACATTAGCTAATCTGATCCTCATGCCAGTTCTGAGGTAGTATTATCATGATTATGCCCATTTTTAGAAGAGAGACTCAGAAACCACAAAATGGCAGAGTTGGCATTGAACAGATGTTCCCAAGAGGAAAATACCCCTTCAGTAAAAGAAGCAGCTGATGCTAACAAGGATAAGTAACAGCAGATAATTTAGGTTGTGAGCTCTTATTTAGGGGTGCAACAGAATTTCTGGATGCCGCGTTGGGGTAATGATAATCCACCATGTGGAATGTTATCTGATGATGTATTTATCAAAAAAAACTAATAAAAAGAAAATTAAAAAAAGATACAATAATTGTTACTGCACTACACCCTAATGAATTATTGTGTTCAAGGTTCCTCCAAAAAAAAAGTAATATTATACTCGGCTTATGTTTTAATTGATTTATTAATATTTTATCACAGGAATGTAATTTAAGCTCCTCATGATTTAGATCTCATAAACCTTTAGCATTTTGCAAATTCAAATTCCAATTTAAAGCCAGGGCGAGCAATTAACTTTTCTATCATCTTGTCAGGGGAGAAGGTTCGTGTTTAATTTGAGACAAAGTGACAGAAATATATATACACTGTATGTATTACTCCAATTTAATTTATGAGTCAGCACCATCCACCTTCAAAATGTAGATTTAATAGAAGGGGAGGAAGAAAAGGCCGTGCTGTCATGATAGGGTTGTGATATCTGCCCTGAATTTCATATATGTGTGTGTGCGTGTGTGTATGTGTGTGTGTGTGTGTGTGTGTGTGTGTGTGTATACATACACAGAGTCCCTGGTTTGTTGAGATATCAGGCTAGACTGATTGCAGGCCTATTTCCAATTCTTTTGTTTTAAATTAATTTAGTAATTATTTGCTCACATAGCACACAATCTCATGGATATCACGGGGAGCTCCTACCCGTTTCCATGCCTACTACTACCCCCTCCTCCCTTCTCAGTTTCACGGAGAGCTGCCCCTCCAGGTTTATCTGAAGCTCGATAAGTGAGACATACTGTGGAAAATACTGCTTTCGGGTCATTTCTTCATCCCCTTTCTCATTTTCCAAAGTGATCTTTTAAATGCTCTCTACCTAAAACAAATAAGCAGACCAAAAAAAAAAAGCCTCCCTACAACTTTATATTTTAATTTACAGTATATGCATGACAAGTTAAAACAGTGGTACTTTCTGGTGATCCTTTACAAAATATTTAAGGACAGGATCAGAAGAAATGAGCTCAAACCACAGAAGGTAGGCAGGTGAACTGAAGGGAAGTACTTCCCTTTGGTGGTTATTAAACACTGGAACAGGGCTGCTGAGAGAGGTTAAGGAATTCTTCCTAGCTCTGTTATCCTATAATTCACCAAAGGCGCACAATGCTCTATGCTGATGAGATGAGTTACATGACATCTCCTCCTTGGTTCAATCAAAGGGAAGCAATTTACATCTCAAACCAGTTCTCTCATCAGTGGGACATAAAGACTGCAGAACAGAGACACAGCAAATGTGCTTATTTATACAGCATCAACTCAGTTGCCACTGTTCTTTATATTTTCCTTTGCTCCCTCCTCCTCTGTATGGTGGCCATTTTGAATAGGATGCTTTAAATTCTAAAGTGAGAGAAACACAGGACTAGGAACAATTCAGGACCAAAATTAACTAAAGATTTCTTGTGATTCTGACAATCACTGGCCTTTGTGATGCTAGGCCAATCATTTTGTTCCATTTAAAAATAAAATCGGATTCCCTTTGCAGACCACAAGAAGGGAATTAGAAGATGGTTAATGGAAAACTCTGGAAGGTAGCCTGACAAATGTTTATTCACTTTCCAGGCATACAATTCTGTGCTACATAAGTGAATGCAGTGCATTTGTCAGAGAAAGGCTATGTTGAATGAGTGTGAGGTCTTCATTCATAAAACAAGCTTATTTTACTAATAGTCTCTATTAATCTCAGCTTAATTATGTCAGACGTTTTGCACTTGCATACAACAGTGAAAATCACCAAAAATGCATTTAGTGCACCTGCTTAAATGCAGTCATATCCCTAAAAACTATTGCAAGGAAGGAGGGAAAGCTCCCAGAGACATGGCTTTTAGGCAGAATATGGGATTATGGCAGAGGGGTTTAAATACATGAGGTAAAAATGGTAATCATATTCATCAAGTACACAAAGAAGTAAAAACAAGAAGCTCTAGATAATTCTTTTTAGTGGACTCACTAAAATAACAATAACAGCTTGATGAAGAGAACATGATTGTCGAAAGCTTGTCCATTTTACATTTTCTCTTTACATAGTGCAATAAAAAGGGAGCACCTGCAGTTTCTACTTGTGTGTTTTTTTCTTCTTCTTCTGATGTTAAAAGAAATCATGGGACATCATATTTGTTTTAGGAGCTACTAGTCTACCGTCTGTCTTGTACTGAGTCCCTACCATAAAGTTACGTTTGAGCCCTCTGGGAATACCTGTGCTATGCAGACAGCCTGCGGCCTCAAAGTACAGTCTTTGCCTCACACCCCTTTCCCTCATTCAAACACATCAGCCCTTCATCACTTTGGAAATTCGGCTAAAACAGACTTCTCTGTCATGA